AGACAGCCTCTCCGCTTCCAATCCATGGGCCCCATTTTAAGCACCTCTCGACACAGGGTAACGTAACTGCATGTTTACAATTTGAAGTGTCCACCACGTTTTGCGTTGACAGTGGCAGTCAAACTCACCGAGTATTTGAACAGTGAGTCAGGCAAAGCATCCAGGACGATAGGATGTGAGTCATTTCCACGAGGAGAGAGCGTGGGAGCGAGAGAGGGTGAGAGACGTGAAATGAACATTTCACTCCTTCTGGACGGAAAGGCGTTCCTTTTTCTTGGCACGCGTTAACGCATAGGCCATTGGAGGATGATAAAAATAGTTTTGCTTCGTGAATCAAAGCGATGACAACAGCAGTGTTGCATACCTTGTTATTATTAGCTACCCCATTTCCCACGTATAGTTTTAGTCCATGGATTTGCTTCGGAGCTGTTGGCACAGTCAGAAGGCCACCTTGTCAGTCTACATATCGTTCGGTTGTATGGAAACCTCAATTGGACCTCTGTTTTGGACGTAGCGGGTTCCTGTTATCAATTTCAGCAAGATGGAGGCAGAACATGGACTACATTAGCCTGAAGAGTGGGCAAACTGAACGAGTTGTTCTAAAGTCAATATACTGGTCGACGATTACGTTTTTTTGTCCCGGAAGCGGCAATGAAGAGCGTAATATTATCAAATCACAACGTGCCTTACCCTCTTCGGGTCAACCAATGTAGACCTCCCTTTGAGGCCACCAGCAATGTGATGGATTGTGATCGAATTTTGTTAGGACTCACACGTGGTGCCTCCGCGTGTGTTTAGCCATGTACTTCGGTAATATTTGGGTCTCGTTACACGCTTATCTCGGCGAGACGCGACTGCGCCATTCTCGCAGCGTCGTACGCATCATCAAACTCAAAAGTGCTTTCGAAATTCAGGTGGAAAATCATAACAAAAGGTGCTTTGTTCGGCCTCAATGGAGCAGACTGTCACTTTCGTTTCCGAATTTCCTGTTTTGCGTTAGATATTTCCCTCGGTCTGCAAGCATACATTGAATCCATCCTCCATCTAAAAGAGGGAGCAAGGAGTTGGAAAGAACTAGAAGAGGTACAGATTCTGCTCGATCTAGGTTGCATGCTAGTGGTTCGAAGAAGGGTCTGCAACGTCTTTGCTTTAAGTGTAGACCTCCACGATTGTTCATGGGACTCTCAATTTTCCCGAGTCCGAGATCTGCCTCCTTTGCAAGAGCAGGAGGCTTGCCACAGTCTACTCATGTATATGAGTAAAGTTAGCAATAAAATACTGTTTCCTGCACAAAGGGCAATTATTCTTTAGCAAACTTGCTTATAGGCCTGCTTCTACTTATATGAATTTAAGTAGAATATTCTGGTTCGAGATTTCTTTGGTTGGGTTGATTCTCATGTCTCCAAATTGCGTCCAATTCGAGGCAACCCTAACACCTCATATTTTTTTATGCTTAGGAACATGATGTCGTACTGCCTCTTTTTTTTATACTAGGAGGAAAGGTGTCCACACTAGCCATCGTAACTGACTTCAACGACTTTAAGCTTTCCTAAGATGCTGAACGAGCGTATTCCGTGAGTAATGAATATCTTGCTCAACTTTGAGTTTTTGTAACCGTTCTTCACCAAAATTTAAGAATGCGACAACTCCTGTTTGTGTATTTTACATAATTGCTGCTTGATGTATCCTCGACGAATCAGCAGCATTCACTGGGTGGCAAAGTCTGTCCCATACCTGTCCTGTTGATCTTTTCCTCTTCACACAACCAAAGCGACGGCTTGGCATTCCTTTGCTAACCTCTTCTGAATCGGGCAATTGTGTTGTTAGCCATAAATCCGTCTGCGCACTTCTCCGCGTTTAATTTTACATTTTTAAAGCATTTTTTACATGCAGCGTTGCAGCAAGTTGGGTTATCGTGAGTGTATACCCTGGAGGAGCACTGATAATCTCCTCCTCACAATCGTTTTCAACCCCTTTCTGGTCCGCTCCTTCTTGCCTCTACTGCTTCGCATCGCTAAACAGAAGTTAATATCAGAACTCCTAACCGTTGTGCCACACTTTGGAGTGTCCGACCTGCCTGCTTAAGCGTTTTCGTTCTATGAATGCGACTTGTATTGAGAAACGCTTTTCTTGTTCCCCACCTTAAACGTCTGAATCTCACAAAGCTCCTTTTTATTCACTAAAAGTGGCCCGAAATTTTAACACGGCTGAGAAGCGTTTTGACTGCTCATTCGGAATGGTTTGGCGTGATGGGTCGGAACATGCTACTTTGGCTATTTCAGCGTCCAATAATCTAGTAATTATTAATGGATGCCCTTACACTATCTCATTTACCTACACGGAGCAGGAGAACTCGAATCATCATTGTCGCATTTGGGCATGGGAAAAGCCGGGAACATAACCCTTAAAATGTGCACCTAAAATCTCTAAAAATTCTGTCCGTCCCATTATCTGATCTTAAGGGACCATTGACAGATGGAAAACTCTTCTTCAAGTGCCATGACAATCAAGAATGTTTATACATTTCTATGCAGCTGAGTATTATCATCTACGAGCCCTGAAAAGACACTAGCAGTTGTGGAAGTTGACCACTTCAGGCGTCACGACCTTATGGAGCTGGTCAGACTTTTGGGAAACTCGATCCGAAGGGGAAACAAGTGCCTGCGCCCCGGACTCGCTTCTGCGCATTACAGTGTCTCACCAGTGCTACATCACGAATTAGCTGCCTTGACTGCCTTCAAACTCATATGGCTGGAAAATTTGGGGAGCAGAATCCGCAAAAGGCTTTGTTTTGCTTCGAGAAATCGTTGTGCTTACATTTCTAACAACCTAGGATTAAGTAATTGCAGAGGCACTACTTAGTTGTACCAATTATATTTGGAAGAACTAAAAGATGGCTCCTCGTGCGATTCTCTATCGAGTTCTCAACTCTGGAAGTCACATTGCATGCTTCTACGCTCTAAGCTCACTTTTGCATGTGTTCAAACATGGGGAAAGAGTGGGAGACTAATGCCAGCGGTGACAACTCCACTGGCCAATGGCGACGGGGCAGCATGGCTGTTTAATCGGCCATAAACCCCAAGTCCAAACAAAGCACAGCCATTCCTGCCTAGGATGAGTCACGACCGACGAATCAGATTCTTGCACGTGTCCAGCAAGTGGGTTGGTGCTGTCCTGATATTTCTTCTCTTGCATTCACCTCAGCTGAAGCATCGGCGCAGCGACAGCAGCGCCAGCACCACCTGCAGCAGGTGGAAGAAAGTCGTGAACGCCGAGTGCCCATTACCTCCAGTCCATTGAAGATGGGTTCTTTGCATCCGCCTTCGGCATTGAAAGGAAGGATTACAACCAATGGAACCGTTACGATGCCTTTCTTTGGCACCTCTCCGGAACCAGAGGACCTCACCGATAACTCGTGGTTTCGAGGCCCTCCCTCTAATCACAATGGGTCACGTTCTTCTCTTAGCACTCAGGTTCGTGTATGTCTCCTAGTTGTTAAGGCTGTGCCGAAAAGGAAGTTGGCTAGATTGGCACCAGATGTTCAGAGATGAAGTTTACGGAAGGACTGAAATAGTAGGAGCTCCAGATTGATTCACTGCCACTGTAAGATAGCAAACATTCGATTCCAATTCTAACATTTTCTTTGCTTCAGGACCGTTTTGTATTAGACACTGTAGTTAGTGAGCCTGTGAAAATAGATGCACTGCCTTTCAGAGACGGTAAATAAAACTTAGTGTTACTTGGTCTCATCGCAAGGCAAAGGTGTTGATTTGTTCTTTTATTTATCCACAGAAGTGCAATCCCCGTTCTACTGTGCGAATTCAGTGTGATTCCGGTATCGAGGCTGGCAATCACTGCTCCAACGACGTCCAGGAAAGCAGCCTGGATGACGGTCGTATCGAGTCTCTTCCCGATTGTGAGTTTTGTATCTGCTAAAGTGTTCTGCCTACTTATGTGGTGTTAAGTAGT